CCCAGCACAGTGGCACCCGCGGCGGATTCAAATGGGACCTCGCCATCCTTGGGGGCTGCGATCCGTGAAACTGCCGCCACTTTCGAGGCCTGCTGGGGGGCCCAGCACAGTGGCACCCGCGGCGGATTCAAATGGGACCTCGCCATCCCTGGGGGGCTGCGATCTGTGAAACTGTCGCCACTTTCGAGGGCTGCTGGGGGCCCAGCACAGCGTGCTCCCGCGGCGGACTCAAATCGGACCTCGCCATCCCTGGGGGGCTGCGATCTGTGAAACTGTCGCCACTTTCGAGGGCTGCTGGGGGGGCCCAGCACAGCGGCACCCGCGGCGGATTCAAATGGGGCCTCGCCATCCCTGGGTGCTGCGATATGTGAAACTGTCGCCACTTTCGAAGGCTGCTGGGGGGCCTGGCACAGCGGCACCCGCGGCGGACTCAAATGGGACCTCGCCATCCCTGTGGGGCTGCGATATGTGAAACTGTCGCCACTTTCGAGGCCTGCTGGGGGGCCCAGCACAGTGGCACCCGCGGCGGACTCAAATGGGACCTCGCCATCCCTGGGGGGCTGCGATCTGTGAAACTGTCGCCGCTTTCGAGGGCTGCTGGGGGGCCCAGCACAGTGGGTACTCACCGCAGACTCAAATGGGACATCGCCATCCCTGGTGGGCTGCGATCTGTGAAACTGTCGCCACTTTCGAGGCCTGCTGGGGTGCCCAGCACAGTGGGCACCCACGGCGGATTCAAGTGTGACCTCGCCATCCCTGGGGGCTGCGATCTGTGAAAGTGTCGCCGCTTTCGAGGCCTGCTGGGGGGCCCAGCACAGTGGGTACCCACGGCGGACTCAAATGGGACCTCGCCATCCCTGGGGGGGCTGCGATCTGTGAAACTATCGCAACTTTCGAGGCCTGCTGAGGGGCCCAGCACAGCGGGCACCCACGGCGGATTCAAATTCGACCTCGCCATCCCTGGGGCTGCGATATGTGAAACTGTCGCTACTTTCGAGGGCTGCTGGGGGGGGGGCCCAGCACAGTGGGTGCCCACGGCGGATTCAAATGGGACCTCGCCATCCCTGTGGGGCTGCGATCTGTGAAACTGTCGCCACTTTCGAGGCTGCTGGGGGTGGGGGGGGCCCAGCACAGTGGGTACCCACGGATTCAAATTGACCTCGCCATCCCTGGGGGGCTGCGATCTGTGAAAACTGTCGCCACTTTCTTACCTCGCTCGTCGCTGCGTTTCGAGGGCTGCTGGCTGCGATCTGTGAAACTGTCGCCACTTTCGAGGGCTGCTGGGGGGCCCAGCACAGTGGGTACCCACGGCGGATTCAAAGACCTCGCCATCCCTGGGGGGCTGCGATCTGTGAAACTGTCGCCACTTTCGAGGCCTGCTGGGGGGCCCAGCACAGTGGGTACCCACGGCGGATTCAAATGGGACCTCGCCATCCCTGGGGGGCTGCGATCTGTGAAACTGTCGCCACTTTCGAGGGCTGCTGAGGGGCCCAGCACAGTGGGTACTCACCGCAGACTCAAATAGACCTCGCCATCCCTGGGGGGCTGCGATCTGTGAAACTGTCGCCACTTTCGAGGGCTGCTGAGGGGCCCAGCACAGTGGGTACTCACCGCAGACTCATTAGACCTCGCCATCCTTGGGGGGCTGCGATCTGTGAAACTGTCGCCACTTTCGAGGGCTGCTGAGGGGCCCAGCACAGTGGGTACTCACCGCAGACTCAGATTAGACCTCGCCATCCTTGGGGGGCTGCGATCTGTGAAACTGTCGCCACTTTCGAGGGCTGCTGAGGGGCACAGCACAGTGGGTTTCCCGCACGTCTTTCTCTTGCTCTTCGTTCCCGACTCCCCATGTCCTCTTCGAGCCTGTAGTTGTCGCCCCTCGTTCTTGTATGGTTCTCCTGCGCATCATGCCATTGGCGCGTGTCCCAAGTAGCTTACAGATCAAACAACGGATCCTGCAATTTGATTGTTCGTGCAAGTTTCGGCCAACTCCTCGTTTTCCATGATTCAAATGGGTTGGGTACGTCACAGGGTAATTTGAACCATGTTGGAGGTCATCTTGGGCTCCCCCAGGCGCTCTTGGAGCCATCTTAATCACGGCCCCCCAGGAGGCCAAAATGTGGCCAACATCTCAGTACGCCAACATGTCGCCGAATGGGGCCTCGCCGAGGCCTCTTGGGGCGTCTGGGTGCCCCTGCGCAGTCTGGGTGGCCGTTTGGGGCCTCTTGGGGTCCTCTTGGGAGCTTTTGGGGGGCCTCCTGGGGGCGTTTTGGGGGCCTCTTGGGGCCTCCTGGCCACCTCTTGGGGCTCTCTTGTAGCGCTCGTGGGAGCCTGGGGACCATCTTTGGGCCATCCTGGAGGACATCTACCAAACAAGAGAGGAACTTCAATTCGGGGTGCCCCCCAAAAAGGCCCAAATGGGGCCAAAACCATAGTATGACGAATGATTTTGGCTTCCTCGCCGAGGCCGTTTTGGTCGCTCTTACACCTCGCAACTGGCCCCGTCCAGGTCCAGGTGAGGGGGTAGGGGGAGGGGTCAAGAGTCTCTTTCCCCGCCCGCAAGCCGTCTCGCTCACTCCCACCCGCCACCCCAACACATACGTACCACCCGAGCCTGTCCCGAGCCGCAGCATATGCAGCAATCGTCTTTGGATGGCCAGCTACTGGGGGCCAATCCGCCGCCGCCGCCCGCCGCCGCCGCCGCCGGCGCCGCGCCGCCGCCGCCGCCGCCGCCGCTGTCCGCCGCTGCCGCCGCCACCGCGCTGCCCGCCGCCGCCGCCGTCGCCGCCGCCGCCCCCGCCGCTGCCGCCGCCACCGCCGCCGCCCCTGCCGCAGCCGCCGCAGCCGCCGCCGCCGCCAAGTGTACTCTTTTGTTTTTTGGACAGGGATGGTGGAGGAGGCCGCATCGGGTTCGCTGCGCATGCTCCGAATTTGGAGACAGCGTGTGTGTGGTTGTGTGTGTGTGTGTGTGTGTGTGTGTGTGTGTGTGTGTGTGTGTGTGTGTGTGTGTGTGTGTGTGTGTGTGTGTGTGTGTGTGTGTGTGTGTGTGTGTGTGTGTGTGTGTGTGTGTGGTGTGCGTGTGCGTGTGCGTGTGCGTGTGCGTGTGCGTGTGTGTGCGTGCGTGCGTGTGCGTGTGTGTGTGTGTGTGTGTGTGTGTGTGTGTGTGTGTGTGTGTGTGTGTGTGTGTTTGCATGGTTGTTTACCAGGGATGGTGGGGGCAGAGTGTGTTTTGTAGTGTCTTTTACAAGGGATGGTGGGGGGGGGGCCGCATGGACTTGGGTTGGCTCCTAGTCGCCTGGCGGAGGGGGTGTATATTAACAGGGAGCAGTGGTCAAGCTACCCACCCGCCCGCAAGCCGCCTAGCTCACTCCTACCTGCCCTCCCTACACATAAGTAACACCCGAGCCTGAGCATGTTCAGCGGTCGTCTTTGGATGGGCAGCTACTTGGAACCAAAGCCGACCCCAGGTGCGCGACGCTTGGGCGAGGTGCGTCACGCGTGCCAGAGGCGCCACGCGCGCCAGGCACTCCTGGGGCCCGAGCGTGCCAGGCACGCCTGGTGCGCCAGATGCGCCACGTGCTCCGAGTGCTCCAGGTGTGCCGCACACTCCAGCCGCGCCAGGTGCGCCGCGTTCGGGGCACGTGCAGAGTGCGTCAGGTGCGCCTGCGCACGTGACAGCACGCATCGGGAAACATGTCGGCCCCGCCATCCTTGTCGAAAACTGATGCCCATCACTTTGTCTGGTGGGCCTGCGCACGGCAGGCCACGCGCCACCACCCCCGCCGTCCCTTTCAAAGGCCACTTGACAGGATGGCCGCGCATGATCCAGATTTAGCCGCGAGGTACATGTTGAATTGCTTTGGTGGTCAGGGATGGCAGCCCTGCGCACAGCAGGGAATATGCTGACACCCCCGCCGCCCTTGCCAAGAACAATACAAAGTACTCGCGGGCCTCACGAACATGACCCGAGACGTTGCCCCAAAGTGTATTTTGCATTGCTTTTTGACAGGGATGGTGGGGGAGGCGCATCGGGTTGGCCGCGTGTGCTCCAAATGTGGAGCCAGAGTGCGGTTTGCATTTTTGTTCGACAGGGATGGCGGGAGGCGGGTCGGCATGGTGTTGGCATGGTTTCGCGTTGGCCCCCGGTCGCCAGGGGGAGGGGGTGTATACTAATAAGGAACCGTGATCAACCCCTCCCCGAATGGGAAGAGGGGCAGATGGAAGACAAAACACCCTAGACCACCTACGCCCTAAAAGGTTGGTGGGACTTCTTAGACGGCCCGAAGGCTTCTGAGACGTCCCGCCCTTCGCTCTTCTCCGCGAAGGCGATCTCCTTCTCCCTTTCCCCCCCTCGCTCGCCGCCGACAAGAAGGCCCAGGAGGGCCCCAAGAGGCTTCAAGACAACCCCAGAGGCCCCGGGGTGTCGCCTGGACGGCCCAGAAGGCCTCCGAGCCACCCTCGTGACCCCCAGCGCCGCAGCAGGGAGGGCAAGCAGCAGCAGCCTGCAGCAGCGAGGGGCAGCGCGCCGCAGGTGTCGTCGCCGTCGTCGTCGTCGTCGTCGTCGTCGTCGTCGTCGTCGTCGTCGTCGTCGTCGTGCCAAGATGGCCGAAGAGGGCTCCAGAGGGCGCCCCAGGCGGCCACGGAGGCCCCGAGCCGGCCCAAGAGGCCCCTAGAGCTTCCCATTGGCGCGCGAGGGTTTCGAAGAGAGGCTCCCAGAGGCCCCAGACAGCCGAAGGCACTCTGAGCTGCCATGAGTTGCTGAAGAGGGCCCTCGAGAGCAGCGAAGAGGACGCCAAGACAGCCCACGAGCGTCCAGGCAGGAGCCCCCGAGACGTCCCAGGACGGCTCCAGTACGGCCCGAGAGGGCCTCGGCAGGGGCCCCCGTGCGGCCGCAGCGAGCCCCAAGACGTCCCGGGATAGCCCCCAGAGGGGGCCAAGGCAGCCCAAGAGAGCTCCCGAGGGGCCCCAAGACGCCCCAAGATGGCCCAGCAGGCCTTCCGAAGCCTACTTGGCACAGTCTTCAGCCTGATGGCTTCGACCGACGCGCGCTACACGGACCCAGAGACGCCCTTCGCGCTCGCGGATTCGGGCGATGTCCGCCTAATCTCCTTCAACTGGCTCGTCGTGCTCGCGGCGTCTGGAAAGCCGCTGCCGCGGCGGCAGGATCTCCCACCCGAAGCCTTCATCGATGTGGCTGACCTGCGTGCCATGCATTCAGCGCTGCCTGCGCACGTGGCGGCGGCAGTGCTGCCGGTGTTGTCTATCTCGTACTGCTGGATCGAGGCGCGTCATCCCGACGCCGAGGGCAAGCAGATCGAGCACATTGTCAAGACCCTCGAGCCGCACGCAGAGAAGTGGCGCGAGTTCTTCCCAGACATGGGCGTGTTCATCGACTGGTGCGCCATTTACCAAAAGGACCCTGAGCTTTTCGACGAGCGCGAGACGCCCGAGGCCAAGCAGGCGGGCGCTGAGGCTGCGGCGTTCATCGAAGCCCTCGGCGCCGGGCGCGCATTCTATGGCGGCACGGCGTACGAGGAGAGCCGCACGCCCGCGGAGAAGGCGGCCTTCCGGCGTGCGCTGCATGAGACAATGGACGTATGGTACGCACACCAGATGATTACCACCCTCTTTGCGACGCAGCTGCCACACGGCTACACTGGGCGCGCGTACGAGCGTCGTGGGTGGACGTTCTTCGAGCGCTCGTCGTCGGAGCTCATCAAGCCGGCGAGCGCATTCGTGGTTGAGGCCGGCGCGCCACTCCATCAGGGTCGTTTCCTGTGGTGTATGGCCATCGACTCATCTGCTGATGATGAGAATATGGGCCGGGGCCTGCCCCTTGTCCCCAGAGCCTTTGCCGAGCAGTTGCAGCACAAGCAGTTCACCAACAACGCCGACGCGAGCGCGGTGGCGGAGCTGCACCGCAAGACTGCAACGAGCGTGCTCGGCGGGACGACGAAGCTCGAGCTCGACGGGGTGCCCATGCGCGAGGGCGATGGCGAACGTATTGCGCAGGTGCTTGGGCTGTGTGGCAAGATCGAGAAATTGTCATGGTGCTTCGTCGAGATGCCTGCGTTGGAGGTAGTTGGGATGCTGGCGGCACCAGTGCCGAGCTTGCGCAAGCTGCACCTTCAGAAGAACGCGCTGGGCGAGGCTGGCGGCAGGGCCCTGGCTGAGGCGCTCGGCAGGGGCGCAACGCCGCAGTTGCAGGAGCTCGGTCTCGACCAGAATGCGCTGGGCGAGGCCGGCGGCGTGGCCCTGGCTGAGGCGCTCGGCAGGGGCGCCACACCGCAGCTGCAGTCGCTCCATCTTTGCGAGAATGCGCTGGGCGAGGCTGGCGGCGCGGCGTTGGCTGAGGCGCTCGGCAGGGGCGCCACGCCGCAGCTGCAGCTGCTCGATCTTGGCGAAAATGTCTTGGGCGAGGCCGGCGGCGCCGCGTTGGCTGCAGCGCTCGGCAGGGGCGCCACGCCGCAGCTGCAGCAGCTCTTTTTTGGCGGGAATGCGCTGGGCGAGGCTGGCGGCGTGGCGTTGGCTGAGGCGCTCGGCAGGGGCGCCACGCCGCAGCTGCAGTCGTTCTCTCTTGCAGAGAATGCGCTGGGCGAGGCCGGCGGCGTGGCGTTGGCTGAGGCGCTCGGCAGGGGCGCCGCGCCGCAGCTGCAGTCGTTCTCTCTTGCAGAGAATGCGCTGGGCGAGGCCGGCGGCGTGGCGTTGGCTGAGGCGCTCGGCAGGGGCGCCACACCGCAGCTGCAGTCGTTCTCTCTTGCAGAGAATGCGCTGGGCGAGGCCGGCGGCGTGGCGTTGGCTGAGGCGCTCGGCGAGGGCGCCGCGCCGCAGCTGCAGTCGCTCGGTCTTGGAGGGAATGCGCTGGGCGAGGCTGGCGGCAGGGCCCTGGCTGAGGCGCTCGGCAGGGGCGCAACGCCGCAGTTGCAGGAGCTCGGTCTCGACCAGAATGCGCTGGGCGAGGCCGGCGGCGTGGCGTTGGCTGGGGCGCTCGGCAGGGGCGCCACACCGCAGCTGCAGTCGCTCCATCTTGAAGAGAATGCGCTGGGCGAGGCCGGCGGCGTGGCGTTGGCTGAGGCGCTCGGCAGGGGCGCCGCGCCGCAGCTGCAATCGCTCTATTGACGACGCCTAAGGCGAATCACCGCCGCCCCCTGCCTTTTGGACTCACCCATGTGGCCGACAGTTGTGGCCAGAGCTTTGTCACGCTATCGAACCATGTGTTCCCCGAAGCGTTGTGGAGACCTTTCGGGGAATACGCAGGGGAGAAAGAAGAAGAGGGGGAGAGGGAGGACAAATATATGGGATTTGGAGGAGGGGAGGAGGAGGAGGAGGAGGAGGAGGAGGAGGAGGAGGAGGAGGAGGAGGAGGAGGAGGAGGCGGACGAGGATGAGGAGGAGAGGAGGAGGAGGAGGAGGAGGGAGGAGGAGGAGGAGGAGAAGGGGCTTCACGTCTGGACAAATCGAAAATGAGGAGGAGGAGGAGGAGGAGGAGGAGGAGGAGGTGAGGAGGAGGAGGAGGAGGAGGAGGAGGAGGAGGAGGAGGAGGAGGAGGAAGAGGAGGAGGAGGAGGAGGAGGCGGAGGAGGAGGAGGAGGAGTAGGAGGAGGAGGAGAGGAGGAGGAGGAGAGGAGAGGAGGAGGCTGAGGAGGAGGCTCAGGAGGAGGAGGAGGAGGAGGAGGAGGAGGACGAGGAGGAGGAGGAGGAGGAGGAGGAGGAGGAGGAGGAGGAGGAGGAGGAGGGGGACACTTGCTTGGGGCCTCCTGGGAGCTTCCTGCGGGCCTTTCGGAGGCCTCTTGGTAGCCTCCTTGGGCCTCTTGGGGGCCTTTTGGGGTTTCTTGGGGGCTTCTGGGGCCGTTTTAGGGCGTTCCTGGCCCGTCTGGCGCTGTCCGAAGCCGTCTTGGATTCCTCTCTGAACCGACTTGGGGGGCCCTCTTGGGGCGCTTGAGGGCGGACTTGGAGGCCCTCTTGGGGCCGTCTTGGAGGCTTCTTGTGCAGTCTTGAGCTCTGGGGCCACCTTGGGGCGATCTTGGGGGCCTCTTGGGCCGTCATGGGCCGTCGGAAGGCCCAAAAGAAGCAAAGGGCAGAACCCTTCAGAGACTCCAAGGGACATCAGCGATTTTGGCTCCTTCCAGCCCTCCTGGAGGGCCGGCCTCTTAGTGACCTCTTGAGCCGAATTGAAGGCCTCTTCGGGGCCTCAGGGCCGTCTTGGGCCGTCTTGGAGGCCTCTTGGGCAGATTTGGAGGTATCTTGGACCCTCTCGGGCCGTCTAGTAGGAGGCCATTTGGGATCATTGGGGGCTGTCTTGGAGGCCGTCTTGGGCGTCTTGGAGGCCTCTTGGGCCGTCTTGAGGCCCTCTTGGGGCTGGAGGCTTCTTGTGGCGTCACGGGGTCATCTTCGAGGCCGTTGGGGCCATCTTGGGGCGACCTCGAGGGCCTCTTGTGCCGTCTGGGGCTGTCTTGGGTCATCGGAAGGCCGAAAAGAAGTAAAAGGGCAAATCCTTCAAAAACCAACGGAAAAGCAACAACAACTTTTTGCCTCTTCGGGTCCTCTTGGAGGACCTCTTGGTGGCCTCTTGAGCCGTCTTGAAGGCCTAGTGGGGACCCCTTGGACCGTCTTGGGCCGTCTTGGAGGCCTCTTGGGCGGACTTGGAGGCATCTTGGACCCTCTTGGGCCGTCTGGGAAGCCATTTTGGACCTTCTTGGGCGATCTTGGAGGCCATCTTGGCCGTCGTGGAGGCTTTCTTGGGCCATCTTGGGCCCATCTGGAGCGGAAGAGGCGAACCACCTGAAGTTCAGCATGTCGGGCACCCCTGTAGTAAATGACAAGGGGGCGGCGGATGACGGAAAGCGCGCGTGGCGTGCGATGCGTTACTCCAGATTTCGTAATAAAGGGAGGGGGGTCTCATTTCGGGGGGGGTCTCTTCCAGGCTATCTTGGAGGGCCTGGAGGGGTCTGGGGACGATGTTTTGGAGGGTTCTCCCACAGGGGGGGTCTGAAATGGCTTGTCTTGGAGGGTCCAGACCCCCTCCCTTTTATTACGACATCTGGAGCAGGCGGAAGAAATGGAACCAGGGACAGTTCGAGGGGGGCGCAGGGCGAGCCCCGCCCGGATGACGGAAAGAACGGGGTGCGAGTGCCTCGTGGGTTCGAGAGACGGGGGTCCATGAGAACGGGGGTCGGTCAGAGCGCCCGACCTTGCAGGATCCTGCAGAGCCATGGGTGCATTGGCCCGGATTTGGGTGCAGGATCTTACAGGGTCCTGCAAGGCCCGACTCACCTGGGTCTGGATTGACCCAGGTCAGCAGATCCCTGAGTGACGACGTTCAGGTGGGGCGAAGCCCTCTGGGGAGGGGTCCAGGGACGGGGGTAGGCCGCGGAAAAGGATGTTAACACGCCCCTCCCTTCCACGACTGCCCCCCGAGGCGTCCAAGACGGTCACAGACACTCCCAAGACGGCCCAAGAAACCTCCAAGGGAGGTCCAAGAGGATACCAGGAAGGCCCCAGGGCGTTCTAACAGAGCCCCATTCTACCCCAGAGCGTTGCAAGATGGCCTCGTGGGGCCTGCAGACGGGCCACGAGAGCCCTGAGACGCCCCAGGACGCCTCCGAGAGGCTTCCCAAGAGGGCCCGAACATGCAACATTCATGGGTTTCTGCTCTTCCAGGCCAAGATCGTCCCAAGAAGGCCCCAGCGGACCAGACAAGGACCCGAAACGGCCCATGAGGGCCCCCAGACGGCCCAAGAGGGCCCCCAAACTGCCCAAGAGAGCCCCAAGACGGCCCCCAGAGAGCCCCAAGAGGCCCCCAAGAGGCTCCCGAGCTCCCAAGAAGGCCCCAAGAGGCCCCCAAGAGAGCCCCAAGACGGTGAAAGGCTTCCAGATCACCCCACGACGGCCCAAAAGGGCTTCAAGACGGCCCAATGGGGCCCCAAGACGGTCCAAAAGGGCCCCCAAGAAGGCTCAGCGACGGCTCTGAACACCAGGGCTCCCAAGAGCGAGCGGTGCCATGAGCCATCTCGGGCAAGGTTGTATTGCTCTTTCCGTTCCCGTGCCGGCCCAGGTGACGGAAAGAGCGTTCACGCGGTTCCGTTCCTGGGAGGGCGTCCGCCCAAGGGCGGGGGCGTGTCCAGGGAGGGGGGGGAAGGCCGAGTGCAAAGTCTGATCGCCTTCTCGGGGCCCGAAACGGCCCAAGTGGCGCCATTTGGGCTCCGGGCGCGCAAGACTCCTCAGGAGTGCCCAAGGGTTTTGGCAAATGACCTGAGGACGCCCACTCCGCCAGGCGGCACGGTGGCGGATCTTGGCGAGAATGCGCTTGGCCAGGCCGGCGGCGCTGCCTTGGCCGGGGCGCTCGGCAGGGGCGCCACGCCGCAGCTGCAGTCGCTCGGTCTTCGCGTGAATGCGCTGGGCGAGGCCGGCGGCGCGGCGTTGGCCGAGGCGCTCGGCAGGGGCGCCACGCCGCAGCTGCGTTCGCTCGGTCTTGGCGGGAATGCCCTGGGCGAGGCCGGCGGCGCGGCGTTGGCGGAGGCGCTCGGCAGAGGCGCGCCCCCGCAGCTGCAGCGGCTCGATCTTCAGCAGAACGCCCTCGGCGAGGCCACCGGCGCGGCGTTGGCTGAGGCGCTCGGAGGAGGCGCCATGTCGCAGCTGCAGTCGCTCGGCCTCGGCGAGAATGCGCTGGGCGAGGCCGGCGGCGCGGCGTTGGCCGAGGCGCTCGGCAGGGGCGCCACGCCGCGGCTGCGGCGGCTCGTGATGGACGGCAATGCGCTCGGACTTCCCGGAGCGGCGGCGCTGGCAGCAGCCATCTCGAAGGGCGGGCTGCCCAGCCTCGAGGCTCTGGACGTGGAGCGCACGCGTCTCACGGCGGAGGGGCGGCGGCTGCTCGGCGAGGCCGCGAGGGCGACGGGTGGGAGGCTCCATGTCGTGTATGGTGACGAGCCGCAGGTTAGCCAGAGCGCATGCTGCGCTCTCTCGTAGCGCAAGAGATAGGTGTCCGCACATGGTTGGCACACTCTCAACTTTTCCGCTAAGTGCTGCTCCAGAACAGGGGGGCAGATACTTCCAACGTTGCCCAAGAGGCCCGCAGGGGCCCCCGAGCGAGCCCCAGACATCTCCCAGGCGGCTCCGACTGGCGAGACGGCTCCAAGACGACCAGGATGAAGGGGACCAGGACGAGGAGGAGGAGGAGGAGGAGAAGGAGGAGGAGGAGGAAGGAGGTGAGCGATAGCTTATCATGGCAAACGGGATCTTTCCTCCTACCTGTCGCCCTTCGTCGCCATCTCCCCCTGTCCCTCCCATCCCCCGCTTTCCGTCCTCGCTCTTTCTCCCCTCGCTCCCCCCCCCGCTGCTGTCTCCCTTCTGCCCGTTCCCTCCTCCCTTGTCCTGGACTGGCATGGCATGGCCTCACCTACTACCTCTCCTCCCTTCCATTCGTCTCACTCTTCCTCTCTCTCTCTCTCTTTTTCTTCTTTTGTTATATGTTTAGATATGTAGCATAAATATGTTTATCTATCTACATGTATGTATGTGTATGTATCTATGTGTATATACGACAAGTGGCACGTGTGTGCCCAGGCTCATACAAAAACTGAATGGTCGTTTGGGGCAGGAAGACACCATGACGGCGGGATTGGAGATGGAGAAGGGGAAACTGGCGCGGCGCCGCCAGGGCGTGCCTAAGAGAATGGGAAGAGGCAGGAGGTGAACGCAGAAAACTCTAAGATCGAGGAAGAGCCCCCCCAAAGGATTGGGGATCGAGCAGGAGGATCGACGAGGGCAATGCCTCTCCGAGGTCAGCGTTGCGAGGATGTCTCAGGCGAAAGTGGCCTGACCACCTCAGCTCAGGGCATCTCGGAACCCAGAGTTGCGAGGACGTTTCAGGCGAAAGTGGCCTGAACACCTCTGTTCAGAGCATCTCGGAACCCAGAGTTGCGAGGGTGTCGCAGGCGAGAGAGGCCAGACCACCACGGGACAGGGCATCTCGGAATCCAGAGTTGCGAGGATGTCTCAGGCGGAAGTGGCTGAACCATCTTAGTTCAGGGCATCTCGGAATTCAGAGTTGCGAGGATGGCGAAAGTGCAATAGCAGGGTCGCAGTCGAGCGCAAGCGGGGTTGCCACACCTTGCGATGTGTGTACCACGGGCCCCCAGGAAGCCCCAGAAAGCCCGACCAGGATGCCGGAAAATATTTCAGGAGGCCCCAGGAGGGGTCGTCTGGGATCGAGGTTGCGAGGATGTCCATGGAGGCCTCAGGAGGCCCGACCAGGAGGCCGCAAGAGGCTCCAGGAGGCCGAAGGAGAGTACCTCTGGGCTCGAAGTTGCTTGGATGTCCATGGAGGCCGCAAGAGGCTCCAGGAGGCCCGACCAAGAGACCGCAGGCCCAAGGAGGCCCCAGGAGGCCCCAGGAGGTTTCAGCAGGCCCCCAGGAGGCTCCGATGCGTGGTCTGGGGTACCAGAAGGTACGTCGGGGCTCGATTTTCGGAGGATGTCTCAGGCGAAACCGCCATTCTTTGAGAATCGGGGTCGAAATCATTGAGCTCACATCGTGTTTTTGAAAGTTTTATGTTAGATTGTTGAAATTCCCATGTGTTTTCGGACCCTGACGTCACGACCTGTGTGAGGGGTGCCACCGATTGTCAGAATTCCGAGGATATCCTTAGCGAAACGGCAAGAAAAATCGCGGACGCGGCGCGGCCTTCAATTAATCGCCTCTGAGCTCCACTCCCTCGGAGTGGTGCGTATGATGATACATCTAGTAATGTAAAATAGTAATGGCCTTCGGTCCATCCCGCCACCGTGCCTGGGCTCTGGGCACGAAACCTATTGGATGTTCGTTGGGATCTCGTGGGGGGCCTCTCGGGTGCCTCTTAGAGGCAGTTTGGGCGCCTCTTGGGGCCTTTTGGGGGCCTCTTTGGGCCTCGTGGGGGCCTCTTGGGGGCCTTCTGGGTGCTTCTTGGGGCCTCCTGGGGGCCTCTTGGGGCGGAAGGCTCGGATGTTCTGTTCGTGTTCCCTCTCTTGGGCCCCGTCTTGGGGTCCTCTCGGGCCGTCCTGGTCGCCTCTTGGGCCGTCTTCGGGGCCCTCTTGGAGGCCTCTTGGGCCGTTTTGGACTGAACTTGGTGGCCTCTTGTGCCGTCTTCAAGCGTCGGAAAGCCAAAAAGGCTAGAACGCCAAAATCCTTCAAAAACCTGGGGAACAATGAATTTTGCCTCTTGGAGCCCTCTTGGGAGGCCTCTTGGAGGCCTCTTGGGGCGTCTTGGAGGCCTCCTGGGCCGTCTGGGGGCCATCTTGGGCGTCTTGGGCAGATCTGTTGGAGACTCGGGGCCCTCCTGTGCCGTCTTCGGGGCCTCTTGGGGCCCTCCTGGCCCGTCTTGGGGCCCTCCGGGGCCCGAAATGTCCTCGCGCCACCGCTCGGCAGAGCCACGGGGGCACGCGGGAAGTCCCGGGGGGCACGCGGGAAGCCCCGAGAGGCTTCCTCTTCCGCCGGCCCGCCCGCCCCGCCGGCCCTGGCCTCCCGCCTTGCGCGTTCGTCGTCGTCCGCCTGCTTCTCCCCTCCTCGCCCCCTTCCGCCGGGCAGCAAAGCCTGGGTAGTCGAAGGCCGGACTGTCAGATTGGATTGGGCCCCGAGGGCCAATCTGGCCTGGCCAAACTGGACGATTTGGGTTATTCGCCAGACTGGATTCGCGTTGGCTCCCTCGCCAGATTGCCCCCGTTTGCCAGATTGGGCCTGCCAGATTGGCTTCGACTACCCAGAAAGCCTGCACGGGACCAGCGTGGCGGCGCGTAGGGCCGCATGTGCCTGCAGTCGATATGTACACGCTGTTCATCTCTATTTCTTCGAAAGTTCTTCGATTTTTGGGGGGCCAAGATCCTCTCATTTCGAATTGTTCTATCCTGGGCCTCTTCCTGGCCACTGGGGGGCCAGGAACTCTTAGAAACGAGCACAATTAGAAATGAGCGCGACTAGACATAAACGACGAGGCTCCTGAGGATTGAGGAATGAGGCTTCGAGGATTCTTGGCCACGCGCAGAAGGGGGTAGGGGGAGGGGGGAAGGCTTCTTAGAAGCACCCCTGCTTCTTAGAAGGCGCGGGCCTTCTTTGGAGATGTAAGGCCGGCGCCTTCCAAGAAGCAGGGGTGCTTCTAAGAAGCCTTCCCCCCTCCCCCTACCCCCTTCTGCGCGTGGCCAAGGTTCGGCAAAGGACCCGAGGGCGCGCCCACCCCCTGCCCAGAGGCACTGTGGCGGACATCCCCTTCTTGCATCTTTTGCTGCCATCTGGCGCCCTGTGAAGGCCCCCCTTTGAACGGGAGCCCTCCGGATCCTCGGCCCCGGGGGCACCCTGGACGCCCTCGCAGACGGCCCCCTGTGCTTTCCGGGGCTCCTGAAGCCCTTCCTGGGCCGAGGCAGCGGGCCCAATTCGGTCAGGAGGGCGGCCCGAAGGCCCCTCGAGAGCCCACAGAGGCTATCTATACATGTATATGTATATGTAAATGTATGTATGTATATATATATATGTATATATATATATATACATACAGGACTGCATTGGCGCTTCGCGCCATGCACTTTTGTCTTTGAGGCTTGGCATGCAGGCAGGAAGGCAATAAGGTAAAACGGAGCATTTCGCGATCATTTGCTGTTGCTTGTTCCGGCATCGTCGTTGTAATAATGTCATTCGTTGTCCTTCCCTCATGTTTCCTCTTCTTCCTCCTTCTCGCCCTGCCCTGCGAAGCTCTTTCTGCAGAGGCTCCTCCTAAGAGAGCCTCTGATAAGCCTCACGGAGGGTTTTAAGGGCTTGGTGGGGCGTTCTGGAAGCGTCCTGGGTTTCTTCTGGGGGCCTCTGGGTGCTTCCCCGGGCCACCCTGCTTCCAACTGCGGTCTCCCTGAACGACCGGGTCACGATTTGGGATGATTCGGGAGGCGTCTTGGGGCCATCTTGGCCCATCGTGAGGCTCTCTTCGGGCCACCTTGGGGCCCTGTGGGGCCGTCTTGGGGTTCCTGTTGGACTGCCTGGGAGCCCTCTTGGTTCAATGTGGGGCGATTCTCTGGCCTCCTGGGCGGCCTCGGACGGCCGGAAGGCCGAAGAACGGAGCAGCCCCACAATCATACGAATACCATACGGCATATAAGCTTTTGGCGATTCCAGTGTCTCTTGTGAGTCTTCTTCCGGTCGTCTGCGGGCGTTTGGTGGGTGTCCAGGGCCTCTGTGGGCTCTCGCGGTGCCGTCCGGCCGCCCTCCTGACCGATTTGGGTCCGTTGCCTGGGCCCAGCGGGGGCTTCAGGAGCCCCAGGCAGCACAGGGGACCGTCTGCAAGGGCGTCCAGGGTGTCCCCAGGGCCAAGGTTCCGGAGGGCTCCCGGTTAGGGGGGGATCGCAGGGCCCCATCTTACAAGCAAATAGAGTAGGGAATACATATATATATATATATATACAAGACTGCAGTGGCGCTTCGCGCCATGCACCTTGGTCCTTGAAGTTTGGTATGCAGGCGGAAATGGCGGGAAGGTCAAGCTGACAATTTAGCGATAACTCCTTGCTTTTTTTTCTGGCATCGCCGTTATAATAATGTTGTTCGTTATCCTCCCTCCATGCTTATTTTTTCTTCATTCTCGCCATACCCTGGGCATTCTCCCCATCCTCCTCAGCTCTTTTTGCGGAGGCTCCTCCTTGGAGAGCCTCTGGGGGCTTCACCAAAGTTCTCAGGCTTTTTTAAAGCCTTTTGGAGGCCTCCTCGGTGTGTTCTGGGGGCCATGGGGTTTCCTAAGGCCAACCTGCCTTTGCGCGCGCTAACCTTTGCGGCGTCCAATGCGAGAGCGCGGGTGACCCAACGATGAGCACGACGCGCTGTCTAACGCAACAATGCCGTTTCAAATGCTCACCAAGCCGCAAACAAGCAATCGCCTAAATGCGCATTCAAGGAGCACACGGCGCCCGTGGTAAACGAATTCGAGCGCATTTCCACCAAACGGCAATCACTTCAGTCGTTGGCGCGCGAAGCCGTTGGATGATAATTTGCGCTACACGTGCTCGTGTTGAGTGCTTGACAGGAAGTTTTGGGCCCTCGCGAATGCGGTGGCGAAACCGAGACTCTTGACACTGCCAACAAGTGCTTTCGGTCACCCCGAGGGGGCTCGGGACAGCCGAGTCCCCCTTATCTCAG